CGAATTGGCGATGTTTTATTAGTAGATCTAGATCTTAAGTAATTAGTTTTAATCTACAAGGTTGGTCCCACCTATAGATACAGGCTGGTTGTGTCTGGTTACATGTAGACATATAGTAATTGATGACTTAAAAGCATCAGGAATCTATTGTTAACTAGGGTTGCCAGACGTCCGGCAAAAGGAGCCGTATCCTCTTTCCAGCTGGCATAAGCCTAAAGTTTGAAAATAATTTACTGCAATGGCAGTACAGATTGCGGGGGGCCTATTTTGGGTTGTGATAAGGATAATAAGGGAAAATAAAGATTTTGTATTAGAAATAAATTCGTCTTTGCATTTTATTCAAAATTACTGGCAAATTAGCTTTACGAGCCATCTACAGCAGATAGTAGTTTTTCAACAAAAAGCCGAGAAACTATCAGATCTGCCTTTTAGATTTACTAACAACTTGCAAAATAGCGCTTTTTTTTTAAAGAGGTCGAGAACAGTGACTATTAAAGTAAATTAAGTGTTTGAACTTCTTGTTTTGGTTAAAATTCGCCTTAGTATTACATTTTTATTAAATGAAAGCTGACAATGCGTTTTTTATATTTTTTTATTGCTAGATGGATTGGCGTTTTCCATACTAAATGACACCCAGAAATAATAATTTTGTCTGTTATTAAGGAGATTTTCATCAGTTTTCAGAAGATTTTAATAATTTCAGGAGATTTTCATGACTTTTTCGTATATTTTACAATTTCAGGAGAATTCCAGAAACCCTTTAATATTAAGTTAAAATAATTTATTTTTACACCTTGAATTTGCACGGGGCCCAATGAGGCCGCATAGGCTGCAGTGGCCTAAGACCGGCTCTGTCTTGAAGGTGATACAACTGTGTGAAGAAGGCTACGAAGATGCAACACACAGACATAACATCTACAACATTTTATGATTTATTTAACATAACCTTATTAAAATTCTATGTCTCGAGGTCTCATTCATTAAATTAGTCTTGATTTTCTCTTTTTTGGTTGCTGAGAAAAGATCCCACAAAAAAAAAATATCGAATAGTTTACATTATACTAGATCGTCATAACAGTTCTTTTATTCTAGAAATAATTAGAATATAAATAGCTCTATCAGTCCATGCGTATGTTTTGAGTTATCTTAATTTATACAAAGAAAATAATAAATCAATTATTGGAAACTACTACATTTAGATCTAGAGTCCACAATAGATCTAGTCTGATTCTCTTTTGTTTAAAGATCACACATTTAAAATTTATGATCGTTGATGGCATAGCTTTTCTAAATCCCAGACCCACACTAGTCTCTATTGCGGCAAATTAAGGTCTTACGGCTTACGTTTCGAAATTTCTGGCCTGGAAAACAAATAGGAGAATGCTATTTTTAGATTTATGAGTAGTTTCCCTTACAGGGACGCTTCACGAAGGGTCTCGACGAAGGAAGATTTTCCGGAAGTTGCTTGACCCGATGCTTCGAGAACAGAACTTCACTATAAAAGACTGCGACTATGGCCGATCGTCAGTATAATTCGATGCCTTACTCTCAGTCGCAATTACCAAACGAACCGTTACCAGCAGGTTGGGAAATGCGTTACGATCAAAATTCCGGTTGGCCATACTTTATTGATCACAATACCAGGAATACTACCTGGCAAGATCCTAGACTTATGAGGGTAAGTTTAGTCTTTAAGTAGTTTAAGAAGCCCTAAGCCTAAACTTTATAATTTAAAATAAAATATAATTTTTGTACTCCTATGCCTACTATTACTATTAAATAGTACTATATTAGGCACTAGCCTTCACTAGGGCCTAGGCTATACTCTAGATCTATGTATACTAGAGTCTAGATCTAGTTTTACGATATCTAATCTATAATAATCTTATCTTATCTTAATCTTATAATAGTTATATATAATAGTATTAATACAAATGTTACTTCAAAAAAGTTAGAATAATTACTTTGAATCTCTTTGATGATCTTTGTCTGATGTCTAACTAATAATATAATTTAAAAAAATGATACTAATAAACATCTAATATTTATTATTAAAATTAAGATCTCTTTCTAATGACGTAATGTATCTACTAGATCTAGACTCTTATCTAGATTAATAATCTAGATCTACTTCATATAGACTAGTCAGTAGTCTTGATTTAATCTCGACAATAATTTAAATAATACTAATACCAACTTCCTGAATGGGGATGTGATGCAATTATAGTTTTAGGTCAGCGGTTCTCAACCTTTTATGCTCGGCACCCCTTTTTACAATCCCCATACCCTCACAGCAATAAAAGAATAGACAATAACAATCCATATTTTCGATGGTCCTAGGCAACCCCTGGCAAATCATCAATCGACCCCCAAAGGGGTTGTGACCCTGAGGTTGAGAACCCCTGCTTTAGATCTATATAAAAAGATAATTTTACTAGTCCAAACAATGGCAATTCAATTTGACTTTAATTGTCTAGCTCAGCATTACTACTAGATTCTATATCTACAATAGTAGATTTAAATCTATAGATATGTAATTAGTACAGTACACTGAAACTGACCTGATATTGAATAGAATATAGTAAGTAGATATAGAGCTACAAGATCTGGATATAAATAAAGATCTATAGTAAAGTGCCAAGTTCGAAAAGCCCTGATTTGTTTAGAGGTTCGAACGGTTCACTTTTTATTGCTAAAACTTTTTTATTTGAATGTTTACCAAATTACTACTATATTGCTGCTGCGCATGCACCTTTTTTCTTCACTTCCGTCACATACTATTTCCTTTTCCTTGTAAAGGCTAAGTTCATGATGAGGTCAAACTCAAGAGGTGTGGAATTATTATTTTTTACTATCCGTAGTGAAGGAAATGGGTCTTGGTCTTAAGGCTATTTTTAAGTCTGATGGCTCATCAGCTTAAAGAGACTATTTGAAGTTGTGGAGGGTGGGAAATGGTGGAATGGATGGTTTTCTTGTGCTGGTGTAAAAAGAAATGACTTCATAGTGAAAATTAATAATTTTCTTTGATCTGTTCGAACCTTCCATCAACCCATTCGAGCTTACTAACTGGGGAAAAATCCGATCGAGGTAAAGTATGCTTGGCGATACCTACACCTCTTTGACCTCGTATCTAATTTTAAGTTAAAATTTTAAGTTAAAATTTTTAACTAAGTATAGTAATACATAAAATCCTATCTATTTTTATAGAAAAAAGGACGAGGAATTTAAAGATACAATCAGTTTTTTCATAGGTGCTATAAAAATCCAAACTTGAAAATTGCTGCCAGCGGGCTTAATGCTTTCAAACTTCGCACTTTACTTTACATCTAAATCTAGATCTTATTTTAGAGTAGATTGTGAGGTCTAGAAGTCATAGTTTAGATCTAGCCAATTCAATTTTTTTTTAGTCCAAGGATTATAATGTTTTTTTTTTTTTTTTGCAGACTCATCTTCATTATCCGTTCAATGCCTACGGGTTTGCACCAGAAGGTAAAACTGTGGAGATACCTGTCCACTTTGATGGAGGATCAGAACCTCAGAGACAGGTGCATCAGGATCAACAGCAGCATCGTGTGGGTAATCACAATTTGACTTATCCACATCCTAATCAACCGCAACCTAGTTCTCAGCAGTTCACATCAATGCCAAGGAAACGAGGTGATGTTTGGGAAATTCCCATACAACATGTTGGTCAGAATAATCCCACTGCAACAACTTCACGTCAGCAAACTCCACAACAGACACAGCCTCCTGTTACAGAGTTTGTAAATCATCCACAGTCATCAAATAATCCTTTACGGGGCACTGTGAATATTCCTATTGTGCGTGAAGGAAATCTTTCTGGCTCATGTCAAACTGGTGGGCAACAAATGTCTGGTCAAAATTCTCATAGTTCAAGCCCACACCCAGACTTCTCACAGGCTATTCCTTTATCAGCTAGAGTCCCCCAATTTCAACAGCAACAGCCTCAGGAGCCAAAACCTGACTATGAATCTGGTCCGCGCCCCACTGCACAGCAGCAGGCACCATATACAGCTCCACCACAGTCTGCTCCTCAGCCAATGCCAGAAGTAGACAGTCAGTTACCACCTAAGAGTATGGAGGAAAGGGCTTTTGAAATTATTAATGGAGTCATGAATGAAGTTAAATCACTGGAAGGAGAGGTGAACTCTTTCCAGGGGGTCAAGAAAGACAAGCAGTACAGATATATAGAGGAAATGTTAACTAGGAACTTGCTGAAATTAGATTCTGTGGAAGCAGGGGACCTGGAAAATGTTAGGCAGGCTAGGAGGCAAGCTGTTAAATATATAGAAGCTGCTATTGATTTATTAGAATTAAAAGCAGTTGCATCTGAGGCCAACTTTGGACAGTCTTCAGGGGTTAATAATGCTCCAAATCCTGCTTCATCTCAACAGATGCCAAGTGAGAACACAAATAATTCTTTCCAACCCAGTGAAACTTCGGCTGCTTCTCCACCACCTCAACAGGGCCTGACAAGCGTGAAAGAGATGCAACTGGAAAGTGAGATCCCTTGCTAAAGCTGCTAGTTGACATTTGTAACTGTGATAATATTTGTACTAATTGCTTAAAATTATTTATAACATGACATCTTGAAAGTGTGTAGTCCCTGCATAATGTCTTCTTAAATAACACCATTAATGTTACAATTAGATCTGAACTGTTTCAGCTCTGAATTTAGTTGCATATTGCTTTAAAAAAAAAGTTGTCCTAATGTTTATAAGTTTTGTTGAAACAAATTTGAATAGAAAAATTGAGAACTGTTCTTTTGGTGAGCTTAACTTTCTTTCTGTTGGATAATTTTGTGTGAAATTTAAATATTAATAAAACTTTCCAGAAACTAATCTTAAAGTGTTTTAGACATCTAATAAATTAGTTTTTTTCTTTCTTCCTTCTTGGTTCCCATTTTAAGTGTTATATAAAGTTTGATATATTTAAGTATAAGGCACATAAGAATTTCACAGAATTATCAAGGAGCACAAAATATTTTGTATTTGTGTTCTATCCATCACACAGAGTACATTTGATAGTTAATATTTTATGTCTGTTCTGTGATCTTTATATTATATAAATATTGTAAATGTTTGGTCTAGTTTTTAAATTTAACATTAACCCTAAGTGTAGACCATGTATGCATATGGAGTCATGTGTAGGATGGTGAAGGTATTGGTAGTGAAAGAATATATTCTCTCCAAGTGTACATTTTTTTTTTACTGGTGAGGGTGTACAACACGTACAGTATTGAAATGTGGTTTACTCTAATATTTAAGCAATTAACATTGTGGAGTACTATTTGAGAGCTTAAAGGCTAGTTGCAAGTTTGTGCAGGGGTCTGTTTTTGCCAAGCTTATGCCAAAAATGTTTTGTTAAAGTCAGTTGCAGTGTTCTGATGTCATATGCTTATGGGTGCTGTCTGTAAATAGTATTTATTAGTAAGTTTTAAAACTAAGTCCTAAAACAATCATTTTGATATATATATATATATTTATATATATTATTAGTAGATAAATATTGTATTACACGTTTCATAAAACAGTTCAATAAAACAATTGTAAAATTGTGTTCTTGTATTTTGTGATAAGCCATTCAAAGCTTAGCGTCACTTGAAAACTAAAATACAAAATAACAATGAAATATTGAAAATTTATTAAAACTTGGTATTTATATTGAACACTTAAACCATAATGTGCCACTTGTACAACACACAAACATATATCGCATTGTTTAAGATTTGAACACTGAGGGATTATTCTATACATTATAAGTTTACATAGACTTGAAAATATAAAATGTACGTAATTAATGCAACTAACTATAACCTGACAATCTCCATCTATTACAGGCATAGCATGTAATAATATTTCTATCAATTTTAGAAAATTGGAAAATAATAGCAGTAAAAATTGTTTTAAATTACATATATATATATATATTATATATATATATATATATATATACACACTAAATGAAAGCTAAAACATAACAATCCTGGCATACTTTGAACAGATTCATAACCCCTGCAGTTTGAGATGTAACAAATCGTTTACTCATGTAGGTCTGGCATGCCGTACCAATCCACCAATATTACTAGCATACAAGATCTGATTGTTGGTTAAAGTCTGTTGGGCGGACACCAAGTGCTGCTGCTGTCTTACTACAATGGGAGTGTTCTGAATCACTTGAACAGAAGGCTGACCATTGGCCATGATTGGTGGAAGTAGGAGAGACCCGCCATGGCCCACTACTTGGACCTAATGATAGAAACAAATACGATTAAACATTGGACTATGATACATGTAGTGGAAGTTATTCTATTAAACTTATAAGACCAGAATGAATCTGATGTAATTAGTGCCATGAAAGTGGGCATATGGATAGACTAGTAGAGGACATTTGAAGCTTGACCTTTAATATATTTTTTAGGATTATTTTGATTCAAATGAAAATAGCTCATTAATAATATCTAGAGGTTCCAAAAGACTCAGTTTCTCTCTTAGATCTAGTGCCTCAGTTTCCCAGTAGACTTAAAGGCTAGTAAGTTAAATTAATTTTAAGCTCAATCAATGAAAGTATTTGGCCAATCAAACAAGTAACTGTCTTCACTTGAGGGTATCAGAAGCTCAGGAAATTACTTTAAAAAAAAAGATAATACATCCTTTAAACATCTTATAGAGCAACTATTTTGATCTCAATAATTAATAAATGTTGGATTTAAAAAAAAAAGGAACATTTGTACCCCACCCCGTTCATGTTCAAGATAAAATTATTTTCTAATCCTAAGCCTCGAGCCAAATTTAAATGAATTTCTTTTAATACTAGAAGTATTATACTACGAAAAATTATGTCAGCTATTTCCTAGTGTGGGAGCTAGTAATTCTTCCAACAATATGCATCATTTCTCTGTTTTCGAGAATTGCATCCACCCACCCTTTTGTCCACTCAGAAGGTTCCACTCCAAAAGTGTGACTTGATGTATTATACTAACTAACCCAAGTAAAAAATGAATCTCTACTAGTTCTTTAAGACTTCCATAACCAGGGCTTCCAGGTTGACTACATTTTACAGTTTTACCATTTAAAAGTTAAGAACTTTTGGATGGTGATTTTGACAAAAATGTACATTATTTTCTGGGTTATATTCAGATTAAAAAAAAAAAAAAAGTGTTCCGTATATGCTAATGTAACTGGTAACTATTGCCAAGACTCAAGACAGATCTTAAGAGTAACTTAGATATTGGTCACAAACAGAAATCTTGTGTCCAGTGGACACTCTTACCATTTGGCACGTATATGACTGAGAATCGTGGGGTTTTGCAGGACATGTTCTCCGACAGAATGAATTATGCACCTCAAAGATTGCAATAACAGGTAGGCAGAAATGAGGAAAATGCAAACAAAGACATCCTCTTTTAACATGACACTGCACATTTATGGGGGATCCTAGGGCAGTGTGAACCCAGTTGGAAAGAAGCTGCAAACATTGCTAGAGACTGATTTGTATGAAGACTGCTGGCTGCCCAATGTGCCAAGGGAGTGGGAGAATTTCAATCTAAATAAATTAACTATTTTTTTATGCTTATGCCCCAAACAGATTTGCCAGTTAGTTGAGCAAGTTTCAAATGACTTACCTGCTGAGGCACTGTTACCTGAGAACCAACTTGAGGAACATACTGGATTTGAAAATTGGGAGGTAACTAATGAAAAGAAGGAAAATAAAATATTTTTTGAGGGCAGAAAAATATGCAATTATTTCATACTTAGCTAGACTTTCTATTGTAGAATTTCATACATGGTGGAAAACCTATAAATAGCAAGCTTTTTGGTGTATCCGGTGTACAAACTAAAGTGTTGATAAGCTAGTTTTTTTTTTTTATCAAGTGACATTTTAATTGGTGCACCCATTATAGCACTGTAGAATCAAATTTTTTAAGCTCTTCTGTTTGTTACTTTTATTGAGTTGGTAATTTTGAAGTTCAATTTAGCATCCTTGACATTGTTTAGTTTATAGTGAAAATCTCCACTACAATACCAAAACTTTCAACTGACAAAATATGAAATAATATTATTAAAAAATTTTTTATCCTTCAAGACTAATAGTGTTGGAAGCATCTATGAAAACTGTACTATTTTAATGATGTATTTTCTTTTGTTACAATAGCAAACTGACCAATTTATACAAATTTAAAATGTCTTGACTAACAGTCATATACGAGTAAGGTTTCTGTACTCCAAGAATATCCATTGGCTTTCACATTCTGTAAGCTATACTCTCTAGGATATTTGCTTTAATTCAAATCAATTATTTTAATTTCAATAATTTTAAAAAGAAATTAAAAAGAAAAGAAAAATTGTCCTTAACACTAATAATAGCATTTCCCCCCCTCCCAATAAACAGTACACTTTTGGACTTCACTTAGTTCATAGTTAGTAATATCTCACTCTAAAGGAGGAAACAACTTGTGTGTGGATGTGAATATCTCTCCAGAATAGGGCTCTACAAACAATTGAAAACGTCCTCCAGGATATGAGCTATAGACTGAAGGAGGCCACAGAGTCATTATTATCACATTTAACTAGATTTTAGTAATTAGTCTATTTTATGTTTTACCAAAAGAAAATGTGAGACATTTTTTTAATAATAAGAAGTACAAATGGTAATTTGAACTTAACATGTAAGTTCCCTGTAAGAAAATCAATAAGACTATCATACAATTTACCAATACAAATACAACAGAAACTACTTTGACACAACACAACATTTGAATAATATGCTGAGGCTTATTTCTGAAACAAGTCTTCTTTCTTCTTCCTTGTTCTCATTTTTATTTTGGAGCGTTCAGATGACTAGACCAATAAATGAGATGAACTGCACAGTGGTTTCCAAATCAGCAAGCTCTCCATATTGTTTTCTTTCTATTGGGGTGTTTTGGCGCCAGTGTCTTGTACAGGACTAATGGTAAAGAACAGTTTTGAAGGACATGGTCAGCATTCTCTGATGACACACCACATCGGCAGATTTCACTGGCTCCAATTTTGATCTTCCAATACAAATGTTGTCTCATTTTGCTGTGTCCGGTCCTGAGTCGAAAGATTAGTAGTTAATCTTGTCGGGATAGCTTATCTTTCTTGTGATTCGGATTAGAGCTTGTCCATTTCTCATTTATTTTATTTACTATTAGATAATTTCTTCTGGATAGAGTGCAATATTTAATTGTGAGCTTGTTCTCCCATCTGAAACAAGTGAGGGTAGAGTGTGTATTAAACATGAATGATAAATGACCATGATGTGACATGTAACTGTTGCTGCAATCTTATCATTTATTTGAATGTCGTTATGTCATTTGTAACAGAAGTGTCCCATGGAAAAGTTTTAAACACCAGATCAAGTGTCAGCTCCCTGGAGATCTCGTACACATTTGTGACCTCAAGGAGAGAGGCGTACACAGTAAAAGGCTGTGGAAAAATATGTAGATCACAGCTAATACTAAGCTTTACATACCTGAATAGTTTGAGGAATCAACTGAACTCCAGCATTGATATTTCCCTGTCTCTGCCACGCCATATCCTGTGGTGAAAAGAGAATTGAAATTTAAGGCATATGCAACATGAACATGTATTATAACTAGGAGAAATCATCTTAGAGTTCAAACTATTTATCAATGTTCATTCTTGATGAAAAAAAAAACCTCATTGATTTCAATATAACATTCTTTATCATTCAACAAGTCATGAGACCAATAAAAAAAAATTTGTAAGACATAAAAATCAATGAGGGAGGCATGGCGGCTAAGCGGTAAAGTGCTTCTGAACGGGGGTACTGGGTTCAAATCCTGGTGAAGACTAGGACTAGCTCTAATGGGTACCCGACATTAGTTGGGGAAAAGTAAAGGCAGTTGGTCGTTGTGCTGGCCACATGACATCCTCATTAACCTTGGGCCACAGAAAAAGATGACCTTTACCATAATCTTTCTATAGACTGCATGGTCTGAAAGGGGAACTTTACTTGAATGTAAAAACAACAATATTTCAATGTTTCTGTAACACAATTTGTGATCTCAGTCTAGCTTCATGCATCAAATATGTTTCTTTAAAAATAAAATTAAATGCTTATTTTCTTATAAATTTTGATAATCAAGCGTTGGAAGAAAAAACAATGTTACCTTAGCCATTATAGTAGAAGTGTTCGTGCTGATTAGTGATGGGCTGGGTACTAATTTAAAGGTTTTGTTGACATTGGTGTTCACCTGAATGAGGATAACAAAAAACAAACATGAACAATATAATTTCGTGGTGACACACAAAGTATCATAGAGCAATGGAATCATTTCTAGAACAATTCAAGTCACTCTATTAATGATTTTCATTTTACTTACAGTATCTAAGCCCATCGTCTACACCTGTTAGAAAGGTAATATGCTTCATTAAAGATGTCTGTACTCCATCTTGGGCATACCTTGGCAAGACTGCACTACAAATTCTTGTGAATCCCGGTACGGGCAGTATAGAGGAACTGGTTATAGTTCGACAGCTATGCTGGGCAGAGCACATATACCATATGGGGACTACTGTATGCCAAAGACT